CTAGAGAAATTATGGAAGAAAATAACATTTCTAGATACGACAAACACATATTGTAATGTATTAAAAGAGGCATATACGTGCTAAGAAAAGGCACAAGATGTTTACCAATAGAAATTACTTTGTTGTCACCGTAATGACTACTCGGAAGTCTGAATTCAGTGTATTGAACAGTACTTAATGCGTTCGTTCTCAGTTCGTCAGATACCTAAATAGAAAACGAAATACTAACTTATTAGAATTAATATGTCAAATCAAACTAAATTGTCTAAAATGGTACGAAAAAAATAGCTTATCGTTTTGTGCAATCAATAATCTGTGACCATAGTAGATATGTAAGGACGAGTGCCAGTTGATGAGGATCTTTTTATTTTCAATTCTCTCTAAAATCCTCACTCATTATTTGAATAAAGATTTGATTATCAAATTCATTGATTTGAATATATCTCTAATTTATAAAAAAAATAATGTCTTACGTATTGAATAACATGTAAAAGCCATTAGAATCTTTCAATTCGAAGATATTTGAGATGTACAGTCATTGAAATGAGATGAGCAAGCACTTTTGCACGTATTTCATTTTCATCTATTGTCATCATTGAATTGTCTAAAATAAATTTACATTTTATGGAATAATTATAAAAACTCTGATGACAGATCGAACTGTTGCTCATAACAACTATTCAAATTCAAGCAAATATTGAGAACAAAATGGTTGACATTGATTTATATTCGAACAGAAAGTCTTATATTTTTGTATTATAGTCGAAAGTACTACATTTTCTTTATTGGCGATGAACTTAATCTTTAAGAGTAAACGTTTAGCGGTGTTCTCTTTTAAATAGAAAAGATTTAGAATGAATTTAGTCCGTAGTGAAATTAGATATATCTTTAAAGCAATCGAATTATGAAATATCTAGTTTACAGTACAAAAAAAATAAAAAACTTTATTGTAATAATGAGTAAATATTTCTAGAAATATTAAAGAAAGTATGATTCTCATTAGTATTTGCCTTTACATATATATTTCAGTCAAAGATTATGGCTTACACAAAGCGATAGGCTATTTGTTTTTGTGTACGACTTGAGAACTAGAGACCTGTAGGACAGTCTTCAATCCTGAATAAGCCCATTGGTGTATTTTGAAGAACACCAGAGTGGAACAAATGGGATTCCGATAACGTAAATCTTTGTCCTGCAGATATATACTTAGATTATTTATTTCGATTTGACAAACTAAGTCTAATAGGTTAGTATGATTTACTTATTTATTTTTCGTTTTCTATTTAGGCATCCAATGAATTAAGAATAAATGCATTAAGTACTGTACGATATGCTGAATTTTGTCTTCCGAGTTGTCACAATGATTATGAAACAATTCATATTGGCAAACGTCTTGCACCTTTTATTAGTACATATATGCCTCATTTACAAACATTACGTCTTTGGCGACCAGATGATTTTCCTTGGACAACTGGTAAGTTTACTTTAAATAAACAAAAACAATCATAATAAAATTTCTTAATGAATTATGACAAAATATCATTCCAGTTTTTATTTTCTTAACTTTTGTCAATTTTATTTTGATTATTTATTAATCAAACAAATCTTTTTATAATAATACACAGTTTAATTTGAATGAAAAAATATTCGTTTGTTTTTTTCTATAAAGTTTATTTATACGTTATCGTGTTCCAGAAAAAAAATTTTGATACTTAACATTTGAGAAGTAATATCAAATACTTTGAAAGCTTTAGTTTTTATTGGAAAAATTGAGCAATCATTTGTGATTGAAAGAGTCAGAAGGATTTCAATTGTGGAATCTTCTATGGAAATCTTTTTCTAATTTATTTCTATGAATAATTTTGATATCAACTTTTAGTTAAAAAGAAAACAAGATAGACAAATATGTATTTAATTATTTAATAGTACTTGTAATTTTTGTATATTTTTATTTAAAAAAAAGTATAGAAAACTAAGAAAAATTTTTGCACTTCAAAATATTAATTAAATTTAAAAGTCTTTCGGGTGAAAAGCAGTGATTAGAAGAAAATAATAGATAAAAATCTCATTCACAGCAATTTTTGTGGCTCAATAGAATTGAGCAAACAATAAAATCAACCTAATCAATTCACTCTAAGAATCGAGAGTGAGTCCAGATAGATTGATAAAACTCTTTTGAAGTTCGCAAAACATAAAGAAAAATCAAAAACTTCTTCATGATTCTTTAGAGTTCGCTTTGAAGGAGTCATATGGAGAGATACGAAGAGCTCTAAAAGGATTTCTGGAGTTTTTTACATTAACTTTTTAGAACTCTTTAGATATTTTTGTTAATTTGTCAGGACTTTTTCTAGA